AGGGCAACATTGTCTCGAGGTCGCTGGGCAATCTTGTGCATCCACGCCAGTCGCCGATACTGCAGGGCATTCTCCGCCTTGGGAACAGCCAGCACGGCCCGCACCTGTTCGTTTGACAAAGTACGGCATTTGACCGGAGTCCGCTGGTCATCGTATTCCTTGACACCAGCACCGCCCATAAGCAGTACCCGACCATGCGACTGCACAAATCTGTCTATCTGGTCATACAAAGCTTGGGTGGGAAGCCACGCTTCCCCGCCTGAAAGATACGAATTGTAAACCAGGCCCAGAAACACAGGTCGTTTGATCTTCATGGGAATCCCCTTCTGGCCCCAGAAATGCCCCATCGCTGCCCGTCCGTTCCTCGCCGCCTTCTGTCTGCCCCCATACTCATGATATCCCCGCCCGTCCGTCTGATGATATGCGCCCAAGTGTCTAACTACAAGTTTGGCCTCGCCAGGAAGCTTGGCATGCTGGTAAAACTGCTTCATCTCGGCAGGGGCCCCTTTCCCGTACTGTCGAAACATGAGCTCTTTCTTGTCCAGGTTCTGTTTCAAACCCAGGGGGTTCGCAACGATCTGTTCAAGGGCCTCGTCCCAGTACTCCAGTTTCCGCACGGCCTCCTGGGCCCCCTCGGCTAAGCCAGAGCGCTCGAGATCGCCAGCGTGCGCTCCGTACGAGACATCAACTTCAGCACGGGAAACGGGATCCTGAACCGCGAAGAAGGCAGACTCCTGCGGCGTTCGGGTCTGTTCGACCCAAGCGTCCACAGCAGGATCAGACACTTGCAGAAAGCGGCCAGGTGCAGACTGATCTCCTTGCAAGTCACCACACCCTAACGCGAACAAGCTCCACTCCCCCGAGTCAGTCTGCACCGGAGTCGCGGCATGGCGGTGACGGCCTACCACGAGCGCCGCGTCCTCAGCGGTCAGGGTCCGATAAATAGTAGCGCCTAACGCCGTGCGAGACACAGAAGCAGAGGCATTGGCTTGATCATAAAAAGCCGTGAACCAATCTAATGATTGCTCGGAGAATTAACTGTTCCCGTCTGCGGCCTTCCCTAAAGCCAACACTGTGATGGGTCGAGTAACCCGTCCGACGCCTCCAGATCGACCCGATGAAGGCTTTGCCCGCGGGGTCTAGCAAGTGGATGAGACGCTCACCTTTGCATTTGATCTCGCCATTATTCTTGCCAACTCGACGCCCGTAGCTTACATTCCAGAGATTCGGAATCGAGCTGGCCTCACGGAGCGTCATAAGAAACAATTTAAATAGAGAAACGAACCCGCCAAGCCGCTCATTCGGCCCGTCGGTGAGAGAAGCAGGGGCAGCCAGCGCGAGAATCCACAATTCCCGAGGGGCCGACCATGCAGGGACCGCCTTCCGAGCTTTGCTGCGAAGCAACCTACTGACTAAGCCTCGGAAGTCCTCCTCGCTCGTCGAGCGAACCTCAGGCGTGACGCGAGGGAGGGGGGCGAGCTCGAGGGAGGACGCAGGAGAGGTGGGCCGAGCAGGGAATCCGCTGCCGCCTCGGAGAGCAGCGTATTGAGTGTAGCGCTGAACGAGGTCATGTGAAAGAAGGCGTGACCATTCTACGACTGGGTGCTCGTCCGCGGCCGTGCCTGCGCATAAGACCGCCGCCTCCATGCCCCCTTCGGGGCCAGGTAGGCGCATGTGCTGATCCCAATCTCGGATATTTGGGGGCACTGTGGTGAAAGCCTGATAGTGGCGACGCTTGGGGCCGAGGCGGGCCCCGGCGATCAAGCGAGACAGTTGCCACGCCATGCGCCCGTCCCGAGCTTGCATGGCCAGATGCAGTTCCTGAACCCACTCCTCCCGCCGCCGCCGCATATCCCGACGTTTCAGCCGTCGAATTCGCAGGCCCAGATTCTTACAAACCTCCCCATAAGGCGTGTTGTGCCTCACCCTCTGGGCTCGCAGCCAACGCCTGTCTAAGTCGACGATACTCAAGTCTAGCTCTGCCAGTGTCAGCAGGCTCCGCAGCAATCGAGTTGGGAAGGGGGGCGCGGAAGATGGAAGCGCCAGCTTCCCGAATCGCCTCGTTCAGGTGGTGCCAGCCCCCGTCCACGTCGCGCTGTTCGAAGGCCAGCTGCATACGATGAGAAGTCGCTTCCGTGCCAGCCCAGTCGTCTATAGTCTGAGTGAAGCTGTGGTAGTCGGTGTTCTCCTGCTTGCGAGCGGTGAGTAGACGATCGAAATCCCATCTCATACGGCTCTGGTCGACTGAGTGCCAGCTCGGAATGGTCAGATCCACAACCAACGGAACGTGATCCACATTACGAGGAGCTTGATCGGCTAATTGCAGCTGGTAGCCCGTCCTCCTCCATACTTGACATTTTGACACAAACTGTAAAGCCTCTTGCGGGATGGCGATGTAGTCAATCCTAGTACGGCTGTCCCCTTTGAAAAAAGTCGGCCCGCACCCCGTCTCGAACTGAGTGTTCACCAGCGTCATACCATGCCTGTTCAGAAGGTGTCGATATTGGATACCGTTGAAGTCCTCCTTCTCCACGCCGTAGGGTCCAACGGCGTCACGGTGGGAGTAACGATGCCATTCAGCATTAACCTTTTCCAAGCCCACATGGAAGTTCCCGTCCATCAGCAGAATCGGAGTACACCTAGCGGGAAGCTCCCGCAGAACCGTGTCGATCCATGAGGTCAGTCGCAGCAGCATCTTCCGCTCGCTCTCGTCTTTCGGCAGGAGCAGCGAGTACACAGTGATAAAGCAAAGGTCAAAATGACCGCGCCACCGAAAGCGAAGTGCTCCTCCTCGTCCCTGTAGAGCCTCTGCTGGGCGCCACGCTTGGACGAAGTGAGCCCGACCGAAGAGTTTCTGATTGACCGCCAGCATACAACCTGCGGAGATGTTCGTGCCATTCGCAGGGTCCTGACTGCGCCGTCGTCGAGCTTGTCCCTTCGACGCCGAGGTAGGCCACTGGCAGACGTCGAACCCCTTCATAGTGGTCCGCAGTTCTCGAAGAGAGCCATCATACGACGCTTTTGCCTGTGTCTGCCCCGTACCAGTCAAGCTGATGACGTGGGCGCTCGCACATGTCTCCAGGATCTCGGAAAAGGCCCCGCTTGAGAGGGAGCGCCTGCGGATTGTATTGAAGAAGTCGCACACGATGAGATGGGGCAGCAATGGGCATGAGTGAGCTGAACGCCAGCAGGGCCCACCACATGAAGCGGGGCTCGGGTGTTCTGTCTGCCTCACGGTCTGACTCGGTCGAGTGAAGTCCTCCCCTCCAGAAACAGAGGAAGGTTCGGGCCGAGGAGGCTATGATGATGATGATGATGATGAGGAGGAGGAGGAGGAGGAGGAGGAGGAGGAGGAGGAGGAGGAGGAGGAGGAGGAGGAGGGAGGGGGAGGAGGAGGGGGAGAAGGAGGAGGGGAGGAGGGGAAGGAGAAGCTTCGCGAGAGGCCCTGTCAGGCTGGGCCTCGCAGGGAGGGCCTCCCAGGGAGGGAGCCTGCTCGCAGGAGGCCTACAGTCGCTACGCAGGCCATGCCCACGGGGCCCCGTGCCGGCGGTCGCCACTCCGCGAGGGGCTTCTGAGAGGGCTTGCCACCGAGGGCCAGAGGGCTCCCGAGAAGCTTCCCTGCCTCCTTGGGGGGGGAGCACCTCCTCCTCCTCCTCCTCCTCCTCCTCCTCCTCCTCCTCCTCCTCCTCTTTCTCCTCCTCCTCCTCTTCCCACTACGTCTTCTCCTCTCTCTCTCCTCCTCCTCCTCCTCCTTCTCCTCCTCGTCCTCCTTCTTCTCCTCCTTGAGAGCGCCCCTCCCCCTCCCCCCCCCAAGAAATCGGGCCCCGGACAACCTCGTGGGGCGCGCTCTGGCCAGCAAATGTCGACGGTGTGCTCAGGCCGCGCGGCGACGCGGGGCCCCTCGCAGACCGGAGGCTCCGGCGAGAAAACAGCGCGTCGACCCGCTGCCCTCCTGGAGCGTGCTCTGAAGGGCGACCAGGATCCGCACGGAGGCCGAGGGAGCACGAAGATCCGCAAAAGTGGCTTCGATCTGTGCCTGGGATTGGCTCGGGCGTGTCCCCCTACAGGCGGGCTCTGGAGGAAACTTTAAGATAGTCAAAGAATGCACGCCAGTAGTCAAAAAATCAACAAAAAGTCGTCCCCTGATGATGTTTTGACCATTTCCGAATGCTCTTCAGAGGAACAGGCCCGACTGAAGCCTGGGACGAGAGCGACGTCATGCTGCAATTGGCTCAGGACATGTCCCAGGAGTCCTGGAGCATCTAGCGGCCCTCGTTTCCGCAGCTCGCGTGGAACATTAGAGAATATGGGAAATCTGGGAAACCTTGGAACGCATTATCATCTTCATCATCATGGCCTCTTGCTCCTCAGGGTCGGAATCCCATGTGGGAGCTGCTATAGAACAAGAACATGCCGTAGACGGATATACCCTTTCTCCGACCTTGTGCTGCGCCGGCCGCGTTGTGTATAGACGCAACAACCCCGAAAGTGTCGACATACGTAACGACACCCAATGTGTCTATAGACGCTTGTGGCTAAGCAGTGGGAATGGTGTGTGAGCCCTCTAGAGGCAGGTAGGCTCTGACCTCCAACCTCTGATTTGGACGCCCGAAATGGGTAATTACGGAAAGACTGGGTACAATGCCCAACAACAAATGTTGCCCCAAACCAGCAGCGGCCGCTGTTGGGCAGGCGGCCTTCGGCCTCGAATGGACACAGGCCGCGGCGGCGTGGACAGCGAGTCCTGTTCAACATGGACAGGATCCGCTGTTGGGCATTGTACCCATTCTTTCCGTGCCCATTTCGTTCGTGCAGATCTGAGTGAAGGGGCCCTGGGACACAAATAAATACACACAAATAAAAATATTCCCCATATTTTCCCATATTTTCTGGGTTTTTGTCTTCCCCCACTTCCCATATTTTCCCATATTTTCTTGGGAATCGACGATTAATTGTGTCTGTGTGTTTCTTTTCCTCCTGACGGAGGGCCACCCGAGCTCCGCAGACTCGACCACCGCCTGCCGCGACGCCGCCGCGGACGCCGCGGAGACCCCGTCGTCGGCGGGGGACCAGCTCTCCTTCGGCAGGCTGCCCGAGGCGTCCGCGGCCTGCTCGCTCGCGGGCGGCCCCGCGGCTGCCGCAGCGGCGCCCGCCGCGGAGTCGCCGGCCGCGGCCGCGCCGGCCGCCGCGGCGCCGGCCAGGGCGACCTCTGTGCAGAGGGCGCCTCTGCACACCACGCCGGCACGTGCCCGGCCCGCGCCATCCCCGGGCCAGGGCGAGGCGTCGGCGCCCCAGCGTTACAGGTGCTTTTTCGCCCCGTCGCATCGAGCCGGCTCGAGGAGTGCAGCACACAGCTGGGGGGTCCGAGGCTCCGGTCGTGACGTTTCGCGATGGTGACGTTTCGCGATGGTGCCAGTGGCAGCGACGCTTTTTCGCCCCGTCGCATCGACCTGGCTCGAAGAGTGCAGCACACAGTTGGGGGGTCCGAGGCTCCGGGCGTGACGTTTCGCGACGTGGTGCATGTCTTGCGCAAGGTCGGTTCTCAGGGGCCCTCATGGAGCGCACCGACATCCGATGCCTTCTTGGTTTCTGCCAGGAGGAAGAGGAGGAGGAGGAGGAGGAGGAGGAGGAGGAGGAGGAGGAGGAGGGAGGAGGAGGAGGAGGAGGAGGAGGAAGAGGAGGAGGAGGAGGAGGAGGAGGAGGAGGAGGAGAGAGGAGGGAGGAGAGAGGAGAGGGCCTGCTTCTCGTCCCGAGCCGCTCCCTGGCGGTCCCAGGGGCCCGGCGAGGGCCCCCAGAGGCCCAGAGCGGCCAAAACCCTCCCGTCGTGATTCTGCTGTCCACGACGCGAGCATGTCTGGGCGCACACACACCATCCTGGGGGCCTGGGATGCGCATGGCCCAGTCGCGGCGGTGGTGTGCAGGTGCTCCCTGTGGAGGCCTCGGCCGTGGCAGTGGTCGCTGGCGCCGCGGGCGCCGCCGCGGGCTCCTTCGGCTCCGTCTCCCCGAACACGAAGCTCTGGAGCTCCAGGCGCTTGGCGTCGGTCTTGTAGCCCTCGGACTGGTGCTGCAGGGTGGTCCACCTCACGGTGCGCAGAGGGACACACCAGCACTACGTGCTCCTCCCGGAGGCGCACGTCCGAACTCAACAGGTAGCGCACGCATCTTATATATATATATATATATATATTTACAGAGAGATACATAATCATACATGTATGCATATATATATGCATGTACATATGAATCTAAGTTATGTATAGTTGTGTGCACGTGTGTATATATATGTGTATATATATATATATGTATGTACATATATATATATGTACATATGTATGTATCGAAATGCATATATATATATATATACAACACATTTGCACAAGCGGACTAGCCAGGAGGCGCCCGCCACCGATACACTAGAAGATGACCGAGAGCGCGCGCGTCATCCCTGGGTAGCTGACGCACGCGTGCTCACTGTGAATATCATTGGGTGCTACCGGCCTCACGCCGTCGGCGGAGCCCCGGAACTTCCACTTCACGGGGTCGCGATCGCCGAAGAACAAACAAAAGGCAGAAACAGAAATCTTCGGAGGTCAGCGCGGTGTTTTTGATCAGATCTGGAGCCCCCAGCGGCGCCTCCGGCGCCGCCCCTGGCGCGCTCCGCGCGCCAGGGAGGCGGGCCCAACGCGGATCCAAGAACTTCGCGCGGATCTCCGAAAGTGTCTGTTCAGGCCGTCGTTTGCTCTTCGAGATCGGGGGCGCCCCCCGTGACAAAACCGAAGGCGTCCGCGCTGGCGGGCTGGGAGAGCTGGACCGTGATGGGCTCCAGCCAGTCGTCCACCCAGACCGAGCTGGCGTTGCCGTCGATGAGCAGCGACATCGAGAAGCCGCCGTCGTGCAGGAGGCTACCAGGTGTGTTCGCGGTCGCCCCTGAGAGGTCGACCTTGTGGCCATTGTTCAATATCTCGAGCTCGGCGATCTCTATCACGTGTCCACCGTCGCGCACCTCTGGAAGATGAACAGTTCCAAGGCCGCGCTAACGGCGTGCTTGGTTAACGGTGCGGTTGGGAGTCTCTTTTTTTGTGACACCGAGCTCACGCGCAGAACAACATGTAGGAAATCACGAAAGGCCGTTTCCTACATTTCAAACTAGAACCATCGCGCGCACTTCGCTCGCGCTCAAGTTCTAGCCCAGGCCGGGGGGGCGCTGGAAGATCTTGGACAGCGCTGTCAAGCACAGGCGCGTGACATAGTCGTGCCTCCTGAGGGCCTCTTGGGTCTTCGGGGGGCATCTGAAGGGCTTCTGGAGGGTTCTCGTGCTTACTCAACTTGCTGTTGGAGGCACCTCTTGGGTGCTTCTTGGGGGGGTAACTTGGGGCTTCTTGGGGCCCCTTGTGAGCATCGTCGGGGTTCTCTGGGCAGTCGGAAGGTGATGTTCTGCAATCTGAAGCCGTCATCGGCCGTATTGGCTGCGTGGAGGCCCGACTTGAGGGCGCCTGGTGCGTCGTCTTGGCCGTCTTGGAGCGGTTTTGGGAGCCTCTTGGGCGGTGCTTTAGCGCCGGAAACACAAAACAGCGAGAATATAAACAACATTTTCATAAAAACAAGAGGAATCAACGATTTTGCCCTCTCGGGGCGCTCTTGGGCGGCATCTTGAAAGGCCTCTTGGGGCGTCTTGGGGGCCTCCGGGGCAGTTTAAAACGCACCGTGCGTCGCTAGAGACCCCTGGACCGGGCTTCCTTGGGTCGATCTTGGGGGCCTCTTGGGCTGTTTTCGCGCGTCGGGAACCCGAGAAGGCGAGATGACTAAAATCCTTCGAACATCTACGGAAAACAAACACTTTTTGGCTCTCAGGGCTCTCTCGGGGGTCCTCGTGGGGCCTTCTTGCGGCGTCTGGGTGGCCTCTTGGAGGCCTCTTGGGGCTTCTTCGGGGCCTCTAGGGGCCTCCCGGGCGCCTCTTGTGGCGGAAAGCTCGAATTGTCGGTTGGATTTCCTAATATTGGGCTTCTCTTGGGCGCCTTTGGGGGCCCGTTTGGGCCGTCCTGGGGCTCTTTTGGGCCGTCCTGGGGCTCTTTTGGGCCGTCTTGGGGCCCTCGGGGGCGCCTCTTGAGCCGTCTTGGGGCGGTCTTGGGGACCTCTGATGTCGTCAAGAACGGTACGACAGCGAAAACAATGAATATGCTAAAAACGAACGTTTTGCGAAGGGAATGGGGTTATTTTTGCCTCTTGGGGACGTCCTGGGGGGCCTCTCGGGGGCTTCTTAGAGCGTCTGCGAGGCCTCTGGAGGTGTCTTGGGGGCCACCTTGGGCATCTTGGAGCGGCCTTTGGGTGTCTTGGGTCCGTCTGGGGGCGTCTTCGGGTTCTCTTGGCGCGTTCCCGGGGCGTTTTGAGGGCCTCAGGGGCGCCCCAAGAGCCGACGTCCCCCCATTTGTGGTCGAGGCTGCGGCCCCGCGCCCCCGGACCCGGTGCGCAGTTATATGTATATATGCGAATATATCGAACAAGCACGACACAACGAGTTGTCAGGAAAACAAGAAGCACGCGCTCCTACAATTGGTTTGGCCACGAGCCGCGCCTTCCTGCAATTGGAACTCCTGTTTCGCCGCTGGCTAACACACACACACACACACACACACACACACACACACGCACGCACGCACGCACGCACGCACGCACGCACGCACGCACGCACGCGCACGCGCACGCGCACGCGCACGCGCACGCGCACGCACACGCACACGCGCACGCGCACGCGGCACGCGCACGCGCACGCGCACGCGCACGCGCACGCGCACGCGCACGCGCACGCACACGCACACGCACACGCACTCGCACACGCACACGCACACGCGCACGCGCACGCACACGCACACGCACACGCACACGCACACGCACACGCACACGCACACGCACACGCACACGCACACGCACACGCACACGCACACGCACACACACAGTCACACACACAGTTAGCGCGTCTACGGCAGCTCGGAGTGGAGCGACGATCTGAGACGGGTCTTGCGCGAGATGACACAGCGGCCCTGGCGGCGTCTGGCGGCGCAGCTGCTGCCTGCGGAACATCAGGAGAGATGGGAACTCCTGGAAACCCTGGATATCCTGGATACATATCACCATCATGACCTCTCCCCCCTCTGGTGGTTATCCCGCCAGCTCTTTTAGAGCATAGGTGGTTTAGGACGTTCGGTCGTTTTCTCTCTCCACCAGCCCACCTTTCCTCTTTGGCCCTGCGCGGTTGCGCACCGCGGGCCGCCAGCGCGGCGCGCCACGTTGCCAACGCGGGCGGGGGCGCTGGCGCGCGACCTCGCGCGGGCAAACTTGCGCGCCAGCGGTCGGCACGGTCGGGGGGGGGGCTCAGCACCGACCCGAGCAGTCAGCGCGGACCTCGAAGCACTGCTCGCATCTCGAATCTGTCTCGCCCTGACTCGTTGAAGGGGCCCTGGGACACACAAGTGAACAGACACAAGTATGTTCAACTATTTTCTGGGTTTTTTGTCTCCCCCCCCGCTTCCCATAGTTTCACGATACTTTCTGGGGAATCGACGATTCATTGTGTCTGTGTGTTTGTCTGTTCCCTCCTGAAGCACACGTAACCAGAATCTTGTTACGTACGGTTCAGGGCGAGGCTCGCCATCGCTCGAACGCCCCTTCTCGTGCATTTGTTCATCGAATGCGTGCGTGCTCTCGCTGCTCGGGGATCCTATGGGTGCCCCTCGATGGGACCTCGCCGAGAAACAGCGCACACGCCCGAGCGGTGCCAGGCAGAGCGGCGTCACGATACGACTGGCGCAAGACGCAGTCCAGGATTTCCAAAGAGGCGTCTGGCGGCGCAGCCGCTGCGGAACATCAGGAGAGATGGGAACTCCTGGAAGCCCTGGAAATCCTGGATACATATCACCATCATGACCTCTCGCCCCCTCTGATGGTTATCCCACCAGCCCTTTAGAGCATAGGTGGTTTAGGGCGTTTGGTCGTTTTCCCTCCACCAGCCCCCTCTTTCCTCTTCGTAGAGGGGTTTGCCTCTCCACTTGCCCCCTTCCCCTGGGTCCGGACGGGGGGGGGGCCGGAGGCCCTTCAGGTTGGGCCTTCTGAGCTTTTCGGGGGCCTCTGGGAAACCTCATCTCTGGCGGCCCGTCGGGTGCCTTTTGCGCTCTTCTTTGGGGGGCATCGTAGAGGCGCCGCCCGCCAGAGGACACCAGACCACAGAGGACCAGAGGATGGGCTCCCCATGGCGCCCCAAGGCCTCCAGGAGGCACCAAGAGACGCGAGGAGCCATCCAAGGGGCCTCAGGCCCACACAGGCCGCCCGGCATCCCCGAGTGATGCCGCGCTCCCCCACTCAGGGCACTTTAGGTTCCTCAATAAGCGTGGGCGGGTACCCCCCGACGGGGGTCAACCTCGCCTCGTCGTCGCGCCGCGACGGGGGTCGGAGCGCCGTCGGCGCGCGGTGGCTGCCCGCGACGGGGGTCGACGTGGGACTGTCAGCGGGGGTGACGCCCCCCCCACGCCTAGTAAGAAACTCTGAGTACTGAGCTCCACTGGGCATCGTGCCTGGATGGGGTGGTGGGGATACGTGCAGCGTTCAGATCTTTTGTTGTGCAGACCTCGAGGGGCTCGAACTGGTAGTACAGGAATGCCGAGTCCTCGAACCGCAGCGGCTCCTTGTGCGGGTGGTGCTCCTCCTGGCGAATGAGATGCAGCGAACGACATCAGCCAACAACTGTTTCTTCCGCGCGTTGCGGCAGTGGTAACCTGCGTGTCGCCACTGCTTGCGCTTGGCCCCCCCTGTTCCTCTTTGGACGCCCGAAATGGGTACCGAAAGAATGGGTACAATGCCCAACAGCAAATGTTGTCCCAAACCAGCAGCGGCCGCTGTTGGGCGGGCGGCCTCCTGTCTCGAATGTACACAGGCCGCGGCGGCGCGGACAGCGAGTCCTGTTCAAAATGAAGAGGAACTGCTGTTGGGCATGGTACCCATTCTTTCCGTACCCATTTCGGGCGTCCAGATCCTCAGAAAGCCACGCACGAAAGGCAACTCCGGCAAAACTGTAGTTAGGCCTTCTGGCCAGTCACGGCTCGGGTGTCCAGGGGCCATTCAGGACGACTCGCGCTCCCCCAGAACGCTTTCGGCGAGACGCAGCTGTTGGAACGCACCCCGAGGGAGGAGACATAACAGGAACCACTGAAAAACATCATCCGATGTCTTGATCTGTCCCAGCCCTCTTCCTCCCGGCCTTAGTGCGGTCGCACACCTTCCTGCCCCCTCTCCCCTTCTCTCCTGCCTCACCAACTCGCTCCTTCCTGCGTGCCACCTTGCCTCCTACCTGGCCGTCCCCGAGATGCTGCGGTCTGCGAAACTATCGCCACTTTCGAGGGCTGCTGGGAAGGGGGGTCCGCGGAGTGGGGCACCACCGAGACTCAAGATCGATATCCTCCAAGATGGGAACCCCCTTTTTTGATCGATGTCCTCCAAGATGGCCCCAAAAGGCGCCCAGGAGGCCCCAAGAGGCCCCAAGATGGCCCTAAGATAGCCCCAAGATGGCCCCAAGAGGCTCCCAAGAGACCCCCAAGAGGACCCCAAGCGGCCCCAAGAGGCCTCCCCGAGGCACCCAAGACGCCCAAGAGTCCCTCAGGACCGCCAAGAGACCCCCAGGACGTCCCAAGAGGCCTCCAAAAAACCGCCCAAGAGATATCCCAAGGGGCTCCGATAGGCATTCAGGAGACCTCCAAGAGACCCCGAAGAGGGTTCAAGAGGATCCCCGAGGCCCCCAAGATCCGCCAAGACGCTCCAAGAGGTTTCCAACACAACTCTCAAGAGACATCCTAAAGAGGATCTTATGTTCGTCACGTTTCCTCCTGCTTCTCCTTGTCCGTCTTCTCCTCCTCCTCCTCCTCTTCCTCCTCCTCCTCTTCCTCCTTCTCCTCCTCCTCCTCCTCCTCCTCCTCCTCCTCCTCCTCCTCCCCCTTTTATCTCATCATCCGAAAACGAGCACCATCAGCAGCAACAGCAGCAGCAACAGCAGCAGCAGCAGTACCAGCAGGAGCAAGAGCACCAGCAATAACACTTGCAACCTTCGCCACAGAAGAACTCCCAACTCACCGCTGTTGCCATCTCTGGTTCACTATGTGCGTCTCTTCTTCCTCTCTTCCGTCTGCTTTCCTGGGCATCGTTTCTGGATGGGCTGGTGGCGATTTTTTTGGGGTCGCGGGCAGACGCGTGAAACTGTCGCCGAAAGGGGGGTCCGGGGCGCGGGCCAGCCTAATTAGCTACTGAGCGACGCGCAGGACGGTCGGGCCAGGCTGGTGGGGATACTTTTTTGGTCGCGGCCGCGAGCGAAGAGGCATGTCCAGGCCAACGGGCAAGCCGAATTAGCTACAAAACGCGCCGCTAACCGGCCGGCCCACTCACAAAGCAGCCGGCTGGTGGGGATGCGCGAAGCGTCTAGAATTCGTTCTTCCCGGGGGGCTGCGATCTGCGAAACGGCCGCCACTTTCGAAGCTTGCTCGGGGGTCCAGCGGGGCGAGGCACCACCCTGAGTCAGATTTGACCTCACCATCCCTGGGGGGGCTGCGATCTGCGAAGCTGTCACCACTTTCGAGGCTTGCGTGAGGCACCAACCAGACTCAGACTCGACCTCGCCGTCCCTGAGGGGCTGCGTTATGCGAAACTGTCGCCCTTTTGGAGGGCTGCTGGGAGGGTCCAGCGGGGCGCTGTCGGTGGCCGCGCGCAGATCTGGCGGGGCGCCTTCGAACGTTTAGCTCCCGCACTGGAAAGTGCAGGGGAAGGAAGCAGGGAAACCGGCGGGCGAGCTAGGCCTCGCTCGCTTCTTGAACTGCTATAAAGCATGCTTAATCATTTTGTCGAGCGCCGCGGCGACATGGCGCAAGAAGCGCTGCGTCTTGAGCGTACGACCGGCAACAGCAACACTCTTCGGTCTCCTCCCGTCACTTTCGTCGTCGTCCTCTGCCACCTTCCCTCCGCTGCTGCCGCGCTGACGGGTCGCCCTCCTCCCCCCACCGCGTTCTCCTGCCCTTCGTTCCCGCCCCAGTGTCCTCCTCAAGCCTGGGCCCTCGCTCCTCGTCTTTCTGTTGTTGCCCTGTGAACCGTGCCGCGTGAGCGCACCCAATGTAGCTTGCACAACATAGAACGGCGCCTGCACTGCCATTGTCCTGGCATGCAGGTGCAAATGGGTTGGGTACGCAACAGGGTAATTTCCACACGGGGTCCCCAGAAATCCCAACCCTTCCCCAAGGCTGGTTTTCCATTCCGAATTGTCTTTGTTGCGGTCCCGGGGCCCACCAAAGGCTTCCTGAGGACGATGAGGAGCCATAACTTCCCGTCGTGTTCCTTCACGACGAGATCATGCCTGGACGACAGTTTAAAGGGGATGTGTCCACCCCTATCCCAGGCTGTGGGAGGTTTTCGAATGGACATGAAATTTGGGGCCCAACCCTGGGACATACGACAGGGGGGCGTCCATCCTCGATAGGGGTGCGTCCGAATGGCCCCCTGGGGTGTACCCCAGGGTTCCCCTCCTTTTCTGAGCGGCTTCGCTTTCCGTCGAAAAATCGAAGGTTGGGAAAGGAAATTCGCTTGCGAAGAACGTATGAAAACGAGACGGGGATGTATCCAGATGCGCCGCCTGGGAGCCGACGTCCTGATGCCCCAGCGGGCGATGTGCATACATAAATATATACATATATATATAACATACATATATATATGTATGTGTATATACATTTTTATATATATATATATATATATATGTATGATGCATTGCCCCCCAGGGGCCCCATTATATCCATATCCACCGCCTCCCGATGTGCCCGAAAATTGATCCTCCAGGCGTCAACATAAACTGTTGTAGCTCCGCGCGGGTTTCTTGGATCTGAGCTAGACCCCCCTCCCTGGCGCGCGGAGCGCACCAAGGGACGGCGCCAGAGGCGCCGCCAGGGGGAAGCGCAGCGCGGATCCAATAAATCCGCGCGGAGCGCCACAAGTCTATGTTTATGGCGCTGTTCTCGACGAAGTGCTTCGAGAACAACGCCTCAAAACGAGGCGCCGATCCTCGGGCGTGTACCACACCCAGCCCGCCGCCGGGGCGGACGCAGGCGCTGGCCCCGGCGCGGGCCAGGTCCAACGCATGATGGTCGGCGCCCCCTTCGGCGGCGCCGTGGGGCCGACGTCCAGCGCGGCGACAGGGCGGGCCTCGCGACGCATCGTGGCCGCCGTCCTCCCAAGCAAGGTCAAAAAAATGGAGCAGGGACCGACCGTCCCGGTATTTCTAGATGCCTACCGCGACCTGCTCTTAGAACCAAGCAATGTTCTTAAGCAACAGACCGTGCTCTTAGAACATCAACCCTACGCATTGAACCGCCGTTGCCCCAGCCAGGACTGCTCTAAGAACACGTCGTGCATCGCAGAACGTGTCTTAGAACAGGCTTCAGGAGGAGGGAGGGAGGAGGAGGAGGAGGAGGAGGAGAAGGAGGAGGAGGAGGAGGAGGGCGAAGGAAGAAGGGAAGAGAAGGGAGCAGGGAGAAGGGAGAGGGGAGGAGGAGGAGGAGGAGGAGGAGGAGGAGGAGGAGAAAGGAGGAGGAGGAGGAGGAGGGAGGAGGGAGGAGGGAGGAGGGAGGAGGGAGGAGGGAGGGAGGCGGAGGACGAGGAGGAGGAGGAGGAGGACGAGGAGGAGGAGGAGGAGGAGGAGAAGGAGGTGGAGGAGGAGGAGGGAGGAGGAGGAGGGAGGAGGGAGGAGGGAGGAGGGAGGAGGGAGGAGGAGGAGGAGGAGGAGGAGGAGGAGGAGGAGGAGGAGGAGGAGGAGGAGGAGGAGGAGGAGGAGGAGGAGGAGAAGGGAGAAGGGAGGAGAAGGAGGAGAAGGGAGGAGGAGGGCGGAGGACAGGTGGGCGCACAGGCGGACCCGGGACGCCTCGCCGCTGCTCGGCGGAGGGCCCTCCGCCCGCCGCCCGCCGCACCCCGCCGCGGACGGCAGGGCGCCCCGCGGCGGCGAGGCCGCAGGCGGCGGCGAGGCCCGCGGCCGACCGCCAGAGGGCTGCAGGCGGTGGCCGCCCGCGGCGGCCTGGGCGGCGGCCGCTGCCCGCCAGGCTTCAGTCTCGACGAAGACTGCTCCAAAAACAATCCACCAAATGCTCCCCAAAAGGAGTCCATTTTGTTGACCGTTTGGGGGTATGTTTTGGGTATTTTGTATTTTTCGTCGGGCCTGTCCCCCTAATTACCAGGGGGATTTCCGACGACAAATCAAAAAAAAATACCCCCAACATGCTCCCAAAATGCTCCCCCAAAAATGGCCTGGGGCCTACTTTTCGAATCTCTGTTTACCTTTTCGGGGTATTTTTGGGGGGCATTTTTTTATGTTTCGTCGAAAATCCCCCTGTGTGGGGGACAGGCCCGACAGAACGCCAGGCGGAGGGCGGAGGTCGAGGGCAGCCTCAGCGCGGGCGCGCGCACGGTGCGAGACGTGGAGGCCGCTGGGCGGGCGGTGGAGGTGGAAGGCGCCTTGCCTCCAGGTCGCGCGGGCGGCGCGGACGAGGAGGCGAGGGGGGTCGCCCACTGAATGGGGGACGCTGGTTGTCGCCTCCTCCTCCTGAGGAGGGGGGGGGCGGAAGAAGCTCCGGCACGACCCCGCCCCGCCCCCCTCCCCCCCCCGACATCCAGCGTCTCGAATTGTTGCGAGACACGGGCCCCCGATCGGGCGCTGCTCCATGGAGTGGCGATACAGTGGAGGCCAGTCCACAAGAAACCTTCCACGAGAAACGCAACCCTGAGACCCCAGGACGTCCATTGATTTTTGGTGTGGGAACTTCGCGCTTTCCATCGCAAAACCTCAGGACCCAAGAAACCCAGAGCACCCTGGAGGCAAGCAGGGTGTTTCTTGGCATGGGTCTCCACTGAATGAAAGGGGGGGCTGGGGCAGAAACGTGCACCTTGGGGGTCCATTCGGGGCCCCTGTAGGGCACAAGCAGTATACCTTGCGGAGTTGCTTCGCCCCCCCATCCATCGCCCCCTCACCACTGCGCAACGCCAGACCTGGGCCCTGCGAGGCCGAAGCCAGGAACAACTCGGGCTCGACTTGTTCGAAACCCCCAAGAGGCAGCTTTTGTGTAAGGCTCTGGCACTTTTACTTGCATGGAGGGTGAGGGGAAGGGGGGCTGGCGAGGCCATGAAGGAACTCTGGACGTCATGCAGGTCGAAACTCACTTGACCGCCGTTTCAGCCAAGCATTGTTTCATAAGGCGGCGGAGGTGGGAGGGGGCAACCTCTCATGCAAGTTCATTTGTGAACTTGCTTGAGCTCAACGGCCCAGAGCTAGGCAGGACTCCCAGGAGCGCCCAGAAACCTGCTCCCACCCCACTCCTCGATCCTCGATCTTCGGGAGGAGGTGGCGGCCCTCCCTGGTTGCGACAGCCTTCTCGGACAACCCGGAAGCCTCGACCCGTTCCCCGGGGGGCCGATTCTTTATCCGAGCCGTTCTCTGACGGCTAGTGGGGCGCGTCGAAGGTCTCCAGAGGCCAAACATTCAGCCCGAGTCTTCGGCGGCCGTTCGGGACAACGCAGGCCCCCCTGGAAGCCCCTCGGCGAAGCGCAGCTGAAGGAAAGCGTCCCGTGTCTGGGAGGTCTGCGGGAACCGATGAACGCGTCCGAAAACAAAAGATCTCGAATGTCGAACCACGAGGGTGTTTGTGGGTCTGGGAAAGAGAGAGGGAGACAGAGAGAGAGATGATGATGATGATGATGATGATGAGGATGGTGATGATGATGATGATGATGATGATGATGATGATGATGATGATGACAATGATGATGATGATGATGATGATGCTGATGATGATGATGATGATGATGATGATGATGATGATGCTGAATATTATTATTATTATTATTATTACAATTAATATTTATGATTATTTTTGATGGTGATGATGATGATGACGACGATGATGATGATTGCGATGACGATGACGATGATGATGGTGATGATGATGATGATCATGACGATGATGATGTTGATGATGATGATGATGTTGATGATTATGATGCTGATGATGATGGTTATGAGGATGATTATGATGATGAGGAGGAAGAGGAGGAGGAGGAGAAGGAGGAGGAGCAGGAGGAGGAGGAGGATCAATGCAAACCCAAGACTCACCAACAATGTTGGAATCCACCCTCCCTCCAAGCTTCCTCTCGATAGGCCCCTACAAGTATTCATTTCCACGGTGGGAAGTGCCCCGTTTGGAGACAATCGTTTGAAGACCCTCAAGCTTGACAAAACACCATCCTCGGGACTCCAACGCCACGAATCAACCTGACTGTTGCGTCTTGACAGTCCTGAACCGTGCCAGAACACCATTCCTGAGACTCCAACACCGCGAGTCAACGCGACTGCGCCTTGACACTCCTGAATCGCACCCGAACACAATTTCAAGGAGGACGGCTGTGCGAATCCGTGAAACTCTTGCAATGTGTTAAAACGACTGTGCGCGGGGCTACGGCGAGAACCACATTTTGAAAATGGGCCACCCTCAACCCGTGAAACTCTTGCAATTGTTCAAAAAGTGTGCGCGGCGCGAAAGCGAGAACCACATGTTGAAAACCACCCGCCCGCAATCCGTAAGCCTCTTGCAACTTGTTTGAAACAGTGTGCGCAGCGCTGGGGCGAGAACCACATTTTGAAAGCAACCCGCCCTCCATCTGCGAAGCTGCTGCCAACTTCTCAGCCTCAGGATCATAAATGGTGAAGATGTCTCAGGCGAAACGGCCCGCCCGTCTTTTCGACCGGCCTCGGAGTGCGACGAGAAGAAGTAATTCATTAGGAAAGGAATGCAGGAGGAAGAGGAGGAGGAGGAGGGGGAGCAAGAGGAGGAGGAGAAGGAGGAGGAACAGAAGGAGAAGGAGGATAGGGAGGTTGCGTTCGACGAGCTCTACCGCCACCAGGAACCAGGAACCAGCAGGAAGAGGAGGAGGAGGAGGAGGAGGAGGAGGAGCGAACGAAGCCTGAGCAGGAGGAGGAAGTGGAGGATCGGGATCGGGATCGGGCTCGCGGAGTTCGCGTGTCAACTCGACCGAGGCGTGTGAAACCCTGTATCGTGCTACGCATAGAACTCTGAGTGGCGTGACTTTGTGAGACGTCGACCTTCTGTGGCGACCCCTGCGCTCGGGCAGGGCCGCACTGCCCCATTAGGGGCAACCCCCCCTCGAGGCACGCAGCCGTGGGGGCGCCCCGGAGCAGGAGCAGGAAGAGGAGGAGGAGGAAGAGCAGGAGCACAAGGAGGAGGAGCAGGAGAAGGAGGAGGATCAGGAGCAGAAGGAGGAGGAGGACCAGGAGCAGGAGGAGGAGGAGGAGGAGGAGGCGGAGGAGTAGCAGAAACAGAAGGAGGAGGAGGAGAAGGAGGAGGAGGAGGAGGAGGAGGAGGCGGAGCAGGAGCAGGAGCAGCAGGAGGAGGAGGAGGAGGAGGAGGAGGAGGAGGAGGAGGAGGAGGGAAAAATCCTCGCGAGCCTGGTGACGCTGGAGCCAGCCGGGAACGAGCCCCGCAGCGGCGACGCGAGCTCCACCGCCCGCAGGCCCTCGCCGCCCGCCCAGATCGCGCCCGAGGCCGCCACCACGAGAGAGGCGACCCCCGGCTGGACCGCGCCGACGACCACCTGAGCGGCGACGCGGGCCCCGAGATCCTGGCGTCTTGGGGCCCGCCTCGCAGGGGAAGTGGCCTGACCCATTACGAGCGACGACCAACAAAACGGGTCTTGCGCGAGATGACGTGGCGACTTCACGCGGTGGCCAGCGCGGGCCGCCGGCGCAGCACGCCACATCTGACGCAAATTAGGGCGCGCACGCGCGACCCTACGCGGGGGAAACTTACGCGCGAGTGCCGGTGCAGTCGAGCCCGCTTTTTGCTTGCGTCGCCCATCTGGATCTGGCGGCTGTAGAGGGGCTGAAGTGACGCAGCACTAGTGCCAGCCAGCAAGAAGGGAGGAGAGACGCCTCCACCTCCGCCGCTTCCGCCTCCGCCTCCGCCTCCGCCTCCACCTGCGCCTCCGACTCCCCCTCCACCTCCGCCTCCGCCTCCGCCTCCGCCTCCACCTCCGCCTCCGCCTCCGCCTCCGCCTCCGCCTCCACCTCCGCCTCCGCCTCCGCCTCCGCCTCCGCCTCCGCCTCCGTCTCCGCCTCCGCCTCCGCCTCCGCCTCCGCCTCCTCCGCATCCTCCTCCTCCTCCTCCTCCTCCTCCTCCTCCTCCTCCTCCTCCTCCTGATCCTCCTCCTCCTCCTCCTCTCCTCCTCCCTCCTCCTGATCCTTCTCCTCCTCTCCTCCTCCTCCTCCTCCTCCTCCTCCTCACTCTTCGTCACGGCTGGGCGCGGCTCGAATGACGGGCCCGTTCCGACCCCTGGGAGCCCGAGTCGTCGCTTGACGGCCGGGGCCTCGAGGGGCCCAGGCGGCGAAAAAGACAAACGCTCCCCGTGCATCCGATGCCTCGAACAAGCTCGGTACGGATCTTTGCTCCTCGCTTCTGGCCTCTCGGGGCCCTCGACAAATTATGCTAACGGAGTTCCCCACATAAAGAGATTAACGGTTTCGTGGGACCCTCCTCGTTCAGGCGGGGCCTCCCTGGAGGTGTGGGAGGGGCACGAAACAATGTAAATAGTATGGTTTGCGGATACCCTCCTCGCTCAGGCTGGGCCTTCCTGGAGAGGTGGGAGGGGCACGAAACCATGTAAATAGTATGGTTTGCCGATATCCTCCTCGCTCAGGCGGGGCCTCCCTGGAGGAGTGGGAGGGGCACGAAACCATGTAAATAGTATGGTTTGCGGATACCCTCCTCGCTCAGGCGGGGCCTCCCTGGAGGTGTGGGAGGGGCACGAAACCATGTAAATAATATGGTTTTCCGATACCCTCCTCGCTCAGGCTGGGCCTCCCTGCAGGGGTGGGAGGGGCACGAAACCATGTAAATAATATGGTTTTCGGATACCCTCCTCGCTCAGGCGGGGCCTCCCTGGAGAGGCGGGAAGGGGCACGAAACCATGTAAATAGTATGGTTTTCGGAGACCCTCCTCGCTCAGGCGGGGCCTCCCTGGAGGTGTGGGAGGGGCACGAAACCATGTAAATAGTATGGTTTGCGGGTACCCTCTCGTCAGGCGGGGCTCCCTGGAGGGTTGGGAGGGGGCACGAAACCATGTAAATAATATGGTTTGCGGGAACCCTCCTCGCATCAGGCCGGGGGCCTCCCTGGAGGGGGGGAGGGGCCACGAAACCATGAAAATTAGTAAGCTTGTTTCATGTGTAGCGCCTCCCACAAACCCCACATCAATTACATATGGTTTGCGGATCACCCTCCTCGCTCAGGCGGCGGCCTCCCTGGAGAGGTGGGATGGGGCGCGAAACCATGTAAATACTATGGTTTTCGGATACCCTCCTCGCTCAGGCGGGGCCTCCCTGCAGGGGTGGGAGGGGCACGAAACCATGTAAATAGTATGGTTTGCGGATACCCTCCTCGCTCAGGCGGGGCCTCCCTGGAGAGGTGGGAGGGGCACGAAACCATGTAAATGGTATGGTTTGCGGATACCCGCCTCGCTCAGGCGGGGCCTCCCTGGAGGGGTGGGAGGGGCACGAAACCATGTAAATAGTATGGTTTCGGATACCCTCCTCGCTCAGGCGGGGCCTCCCTGCAGGGGTGGGAGGGGCACGAAACCATGTAAATAGTATGGTTTGCGGATACCCTCCTCGCTCAGGCGGGGCCTCCCTGGAGGGGTGGGAGGGGCATGGTATGGTATGGTATGGTATGCGTGGTAGGAACTATGGTATGGTATGGTGTGTGTGTGTGGTAAAAATAATATTGTGCTGTATGGAAGATGGAGCGGGAGGTGGGTGGGAAGGAGAGGGTGTTCTGGGAAAACAAGAACCCCACTCAGGATGTGGGGAAATCGATACCAATATTTGCTCCTTTTCGGCCTCTCGGGGCCTTTACGGATGCCCAGCGACTCGACAACATCGATACGGATCGTTGTCGTTGTCGTCCTCGGCCTTTCGGGGCCCTCATGCCTGGCCGGCCTCGGGCCTGTCAAAAACGACTCGAGGTGAGAAGCCGGTCCCGCGAAGTGGTCGGGAGTAGAGGCCTCCTGGATGGGGTCGGAGCAGACGGGGTCGGGGGATCGCGCCGCATCGGCGACGTCGGCGAGGCATCGGCGACGTCGACGTGAAACAAATCGGGCTCCGTATCGAGCCGCGTCGGCGATGCGGCGCGATCCTCCAATGGCCCATCTGCTCGGACCCCATCTGGGAGGCCTAGAGGAAGTGGTCGAGAGGTCGGCGGCCCGTGCCTCGAAAAACTCGAGACGCTGGATGTCTGGGTTTACGGACCCGCTCCCCTCCTGAACCGCCTGGCCTGCTCCTCACGTGTCTTAGACCCAACGGCCCGACGGCCTCGTCCTGCGGGAAGCCGCTCGGCCCGGTGATGCGGATCTCGTCCTGGGGTACATGGGCTCGATGTATACACCACGCTGTTTTCGGGATCCACCAAAAGGGGGTGACCCTGCGGAGGGGCATCAGATGCCCCCCGCATTCCCACCTATCTACAAGAAGAACGAAACATTACGAACATATACAAACTTTTGAAGCTCCGCGCGGACTTCTTGGATCTGCGCTGGGCTCCCCTCCCTGGCGCACGGAGCGCGCCAGGGGCGGCGCCGGACGCGCCGCTTGGAGGGCCCAGCGCGGATCCAAGAAATCCGCGCGGAGCGGAGCGCCAGAAGTTTATGTTCATGGCGTTCTTTCCTTCTTCGACTGTCGGCAGCTATCGGGAGTTGCCGGCGGCTGGGGGGCATCTGTTTTGAGCGGTTCGGTGCGAAAGCGGATCGAACTCACGCCCGCTCTGGCCCCCCCCCCCCTTTCCGAGATCCCGATGCTCGGTCGGCCAGGGCACCTCGAAGCGAAGACGCCCCAGCTCCCGACAGCTGCGAGACGCGGCACATCCCAGGACTTCGTTCGCGGAGGAGCTCCCGAAAGGCTTCCCTGAGATCCGACGCCACGAGGACAAAGGCACCTCCGCAAGAAATCACGAACGGAGCCCTGGACCCAATCTTCCTGCGGCATTTGTCGACCCGGATCGATCTGGTAGGGTCCTGGGACCCCAGGGCGCTACGACCACGCTCAGTGAAGACAACAGGCTACGCCAGGATCCCATGGCCTTCGCCGACCCAACGACGCAAACCTCCGATGCCCTGATTTTTCCATCACGGGGCCCCCAGAAGTCCCCCAGGGCCGATTCTCCATCCCGAATTGATGGGTCGTGGGGCCCGATGCGAAACACCTCCGTCTTGCTGTCTGAAGGCTTTGGATGTCTGTGGGACCTTGGCCGATCAAACAACGCGGTGCTGGGATGACCGCGGAGGTGGCTGAAGGGACAGAGAGGTCATAAACGGTTGCCACGGTGGCTATATAGTGGGATACAACTGCCCCAAGTTGCTCAGGAGGGTTTGCAATCCAGGCTAACGGGGCTCCGCCCACTTAGCGGAGTATTATGACCCGCTAGGCCACGTGGGGCAGTTGCAACCCACGTACAAGCCAGGTTGGGCCAGATATTGCCACCTTCGCTATCCCCTTAGCAAGCCCGCGGTCATCCCAGCTGTGCGCGGAACGCGCCAGGGGCGGCGCCGAGGGCGCCGCCCGGAGAGCCCGAGCGCCAATCCAAGAAATCCACGGCGGACCGCCAGAAGTTCTTTTGTTCTTGGAGGTCTGGGCCCTTGGCCGACCAAACAGCGATTTGTGTATGGGTATCGTACCACACACCTATATGTATTTCAAACACATACATACGTACAATCATACCTACGTGCGTACATACATGCATGCATGCATGCGCGCGTGCATATGTAGATTGATACATGCAGACATACATCAATACCTACCTACCTACCTACCTACCTACCTACATACATACATACATACATACATACATACACATACATACGTAAACACATACCCACACATACACACAAGGATACATACATGTATGCACGCATACATACATACGTGCATACATGTAGTCAAACAGGCATGCGTACACCCATGCATGCATACATACATTCAATCCGTACATGCATACACACGTACATACATGCATGCATGCATACATACATACATGCATGCGTGCTTGCCTGCATACAAGCATACATACACGCATTCACATCTAAATATACACACATATATATACACATACATAAATGCATACATAGATATATCGGTGTACACTTTTACAGCAGCTGCGTCGGTGTACAATTGTGTATATATATGTATGTATATATATATATATATATAGACCTGTTCATATATACATATATATATATATATAGACATACATACACCGAACCCCTCCGAAGTCCCCTGGGCCCAGGCCGGCCGCCCCGGCGATCAGGACGCGGGTGGCCCCCGCCGCAGCCGGCTCCGCCACCTCCGGGGGCCTCCCACATGGGGCCGAGTAGTCTGGGTTTCATGATAAGCGTGGGGGGGTACCCCCCCGACGGGGGTCAACCTCGCCTCGTCGTCGCGCCGAGAGGGGGTCGGAGCGCCTTCGGCGCGCGGTGGCTGCCCGCGACAGGGGTCGATGTGGGGCTGTCGGCGAGGGTGACGCCCCCCCGACGCTTATTAAGAAACTCGGAGTAGATGGGGTCGAAAGATCGCGCCGCATCGCCGAGGCATCGGCGTCGCCGGCGGAGGCAATCGGGGCCCACATCTGGGAAAACTGCAAGGTACCGATACTGCCACTCCCCGGATCCCTCCTGGGGTGCGTTCTGACCAGGAGCTCGAGGCGAACCCAGCGGTGGCGACGAGGGCTTCCCAGGAGGGCGAAAAAGGAGAAAACGAGGCAAGGGTAGCAGTACGAGTACCTCTTCCTCCTCCGAACATCGAGCCGCATCGCCGATGCATCGGCGACGCGGCGCGATGCTCTGACCCAGGATGGGCCTCCTTTGGGAGGCCTACACTTAGGTCGGGCGTGTCCTCCTACGGGCGGATGTTGGACGAATAAGAAACATAACAGACAAACATTGAAGAATTACTCGAAATAACATCGTCCCCTGATTATTTGTTCTGCTATTTTTCAAATTCCTCCTGTAGAGCCTTAGAGGGAGAGGCCGCCCGACCTAAGCCTGCACCGCCTTGGCGCGGGCCTCCGCGAGGCCGCCCTCCGCGGCCACGGCCGCGGTGCCGCCGCCGGGCGCGGCGCCGCCGGGGGGGTCCTTTGGGGGGTGGGCGGCGCCGCGACCTCCGCAGGGGCCCCCGCTGGGGAGGGGATGGGCAGATTATCCACCAACGCTACCACATGCAGGACGGGGGAGAGAGGAGGATGAGGAGGTCCTCCTCCTCCTCCTCCTCCTCCTCCTCCTCCTCCTCCTCCTCCTCGTCCTCCTCCTCCTCCTCCTCCTCCTCCTCCTCCTCCTCCTCCTCCTCCTCCTCCTCCTCCTCCTCCTCCTCCTCCTCCCCTTCTGATCCCTCGAGACCTCGAGCGATGGGCAAATGTTCCACCACCGCTGCCATAGGTAGGTCCGGGGGGAGAAGGGAGGACGGGGAGGTGCTCCTCCTCCTCCTCCTCCTCCTCCTCCTCCTCCTCCTCCTCTGGGCCCATCTGGAGATCCTTAGGGGAAGGGGGGGGGGCGGCCGCGATCTCCGCAGGGAGGCACCCCCCTGGGGAGACCCTTAGGGGGAAGACGCAGCGACAGAAGCCTAAAAGCTCGGAGGTCCGCGCGGATTCTAAGGGATCCGCGCTGGGCCCCCCCCCCTGGCGGAGCCTCTGGCGCTGCCCACGGCGCGCTCCGCGTGCCGGGGAGGCGGAGCCAGCGCCAATCCGAGAAGTCCTTCGTGGACCTCACAGCTTGTATGTTTATGTCATTACTCGTTCCCTGAACCCCGGCCTCCAGCGACTTCGCCCTCTGCTTCCCATCGGGGGGGGCCAAACGTGTCCCCAGCTTTACGCTCCATTTCGGAGCCCCTGGGGCCCTGTGGGCCTCGTGAGAAGTGCTCTGGAGGCCGTGGGGGCCTCCTTGGAAATCCTGGGGGACCCTTGGGCCAGGGGCACTGCCCAGATCTCCTTGGAGGGGGGAGGGCTTCTTGGGAGACGGCTGCTTCTTCGATGGCGCAAGCCCTGCATCTATGGACAGGGCCCGCGCCTTCTGAGAAGCAGTGGTGCCTCTGAGAAGCCCCCTCCTCTCCCCCACCCCCCTTCCTGGGGCCCAAAGAATATACAACCACCACCACGTCGATTCCTCCTCCCTCCTCTTTTCAGCGAGAGTGGAGGGGGGACGGGAGGTGATGGCGGTGGTGTATAATTTGGGCCCCCCCCCGCCCCTCTTCTGCGAGTGGATGCTCTCCGCCGACGTGATGCCTGCAATCCGGGCGAAGTCCCTCGGTCTCAGCCTGCAGGACCCGTGGTCGGGCACGGGGGCCATCGAAATCGGATCCGGGGCGCAGCACTGCCCCTGGAGTTAAGTCGGGCGTGTCCCTACAGGGGGATTTTCGACGAAAAGTAAACAACACTCCAAAACATACTCCAACATTGTCAAACGAAATGCAAAAAAATAGTCCCCAGACTATTTTGGGACCATGTTTGAATATTCCTCCTGTAGCGGGACAGGCCCGAGTTAACTTTGGGGCCGCGGGCTGCAGAGAACACCTCGCAGGATGCCTGGGGCTTCGCGTCGCGGGCAACGTCACGACGAACGCTCTTGGCCAAGTTCTCGGTCTCCGGGGGCCCTCGCTGAGGTCCCAGGACGCTCACGAGAACGACTCGGGATGAAGAGCCGGCCTCTGGGGAGGTCAGGGGCAACGTCCGGGGGGGGGGGGGTGCTTCGACCCCGCTCCGCTGGGGGCGAGGAGGAGCAGGAGGGGGAAGGGCGAGGAGGAGGAGGACAGAGGAGGAGGAGGAGGAGGAGGGGAGGAGGAGGAGGAGCAGAGGAGGAGGAGGAGGAGGAGGAGGAGAGAGGAGGAGGAGGAGGAGGAGGAGGAGGAGGAGGAGGAGGAGGAGGAGGATGGGCGAGCTCCTCTCCCCCGCCGGGGCAAAAAGGGGGAGGGGCGAGCTCGACCCCCGCCGGGCGAAACAAGGGGGGGGCTCACAACTGCGTCGCATGGGATCGATCGGGCCGAGATGGGCCCCGTTATAAAACATAAACCCGATGTGTTAAAACAAGACAGTCCCAGCCAAACATGTTCTAAGAACATTTCGTGGGAACCGCAAGAGGTTCTCAGAACATTGTTTGGTAGGGCTACAGGGAGCCAGGACGCTTCGCCACTGCTTGAGCCCCGCCGCGCCGCGGCGGCCCCCGGGCGCGCCGGCTGTCCTCGGCCGCGGGCGCCCGCGGCTCTGGGGCTCCGTGCGGCCGGACCTGCGCCTGGTGGGGGGCGTCGCTGCCCCGAGGCGTAAAGGCACAGCACGTGGCGGCATTGGTCAGGAGCTCAACACGTAGACTGAAAGCGTACCGTGGAGGCCAGTCCACTTGGACACCCGAAGTGGGTACCGAAAGAATGGGTACAATGCCCAACAACAAATGCTGTCCCAAGCCAACAGCGGCCGCTGTTGGGCAGGCGGCCTTCTGTCTCGAATGGACACAGGCCGCGGCGGCGTGGAAAGCGAATCCTGTTCAGAATGAACAGGAACTGCTGTTGGGCGTCGTACCCATTCTTTCCGTGCCCATCTCGGGCGTCCAGAGTCCACAAGAAACCTGACACAAGAAACCCCACCTTGAGACCCCCAGGGCTTCCATTGATTTTTGGCGTGGGAGCGTCGCGCTCTGGCAAGCAGCCTGGAGGCAGGCAGGGTGTTTCTTGGCGTGGGTCTCGACTGCAGGTCTGACGCGATACGATCGCCAGAACGTGGGCCAATACTTGGGGCAAAGGCGCACACTGTCGACACGGACGTGTTGAGCACGGTGTACGTGCTGCGTATCCAAGGGGGCGTAGCGAGGCAACTAAGGAGGGGGGGCGTTACACGTGGTGCCCGTGACAGCAGGGACCGACCGTCCCGGCATTCCTATAGTCATACCACGAAATGTTCGTAGAACCCAAACATGTTCTAAGAGCAAAAACAGCGTTCTTAGAACTTAAACCCGATGTGTTCAACCAAGACAGACTCCGCCAAACATGCTCTAAGAACATCTCGTGGGAACCACAAAAGGCTCTTAGAACACTCTTTGGTGGGGCTATAGTCGGGTCGGGCGAAAGGGGGGGATAGCAAAGGGGGGGTTTGAGAATCAGCTCACTTAGCTGATCTTCCCGGCGCCTCCCGGCGCCGGAGGCGGCTATGTATCGAGGAATGGGCCCCTCGGTGAGGCCGAAACCAGCTGCATACAGCAAATTTCGCACCCCCCCTTCCCCAATCCCCCCCTTTCGTCCGGCCCGATATAGGCGAGCCGGGACGCTTCGCCACTGCTTGACCATGGGAGCCCACGGCGCAACATCTGCCGAGGGCGGGCGGGCGCAGAGGCCTCGGCCGCGGAGAGGCCGGCATGCCGTGGGCGGCGGGCCGCCAAGGTCCCCCCCGGGGACGCCGCGGCTCCCGAGGGAGCGATCATTCTCCCTTTCCTGCCCCTTCTCCACCTCCACCTCCTCCTCCACCTCCTCCTCCTCCTCCTAGTGCTTTTCCTCCTCTCCTCCTCTCCTCCTCCTCCTCCTCCTCCTCCTCCTCCTCCTCCTCCTCCTCGCCCTGAAGACGCCGAAAGGCAGCACGCTTGGCGGCAGCACATTTCCCCCATCTCACCTGCAAGGGGCCAGGACTCGCACTTTTGGAGTCTGCGGCTAGGCAGAGGGTGGCTGCGCTGGCGATGGAGGCATGACCAGGGGCACCGGCCGGGAGGAGCCCCGGGGCAGGAGTCGGAGGAGCGACGACGCAGGGACGGCACGACGCCTTCAGGACAGCGCTGCATGGCGCCTGTTCCGTGGGAGCCCGCGTGGCCACTCGCGCTGTCCGATGTGGGCCTGGCTTGGACCGAATTTGACACACACTCCTCCTCCTCCTCCTCCTCCTCCTCCTCCTCCTCCTCCTCCTCCTCCTCCTCCTCCTCCTCCAAAGGAGAAGCGACAAAGGAGGAGGGGGAGGAGGAGGAGGAGAGGGGGAGGAGGAGGAGGAGGCGGAGGAGGAGGAGGAGGCGACAAAACGAAGCGGGTCTTGTGCGAGACGCGAGATGACACAGCGCCCTTACGCGGCGGCTCACGCTGGCCGCCGGCGCGGCAGGCTAAGTACATTGGAGACGAGGGCGTGTACGCTGGACATTGGAGACGAGGGCATTTTTCTGCGTCGCTCATTTGGGACTGGATGTGGACCCGGTGTAGACAAGAGCCCTCTCAAGGGAGATAAAACACGATCGAGGAGGGGGAGGAGGAGCAGGAGGGGCGAGAAGGAGCAGGAGGAAGGGCCAAGGGCGGTCGAGATGCGGCCAACACGT